AAGCTGAAAATGTATGTTGATTTCAAGAACAGATTGGAGTCTCAGTTTTAACTTCCTCTAGTGAAGGTTAAACACACTGACTTGATCCATAGAGACTTAAAATCCGATCTGCCCTAAGTGTCCTTTAAGAAGGTGAGTTTGTAGTTGACGAGTACTCATTTGGTGTGAGAGAAATTTTCATATGCATAAGTATACACAAGCATGTACCTTTAAGTGGTGTGAAACCTCGTTGAAAGAGTTGAGGGAAGTGTAGATAGCACAAAAAGCAGAATGCACTGACCGTCCAGAACAGCACACTAGCAACTCCCAATTCTTCAACTACTTGAAGCGCGAAGCTCATGACCCCATCGGAGACGATGCAAGACACGGGAGGTACGTTTGACGACGACATAGAATTGAGTCTATTACAAAGATTACGAAATGGGACCAAGCAGTTTTTGGCGGTGGAGATGCAGAGTTCGATGATGTCTTGGGTGGCATCCGGGTTCTGCGGTGGCGGGAGGCCATCGGGAATGGTTTCGAAGCGGAAGGTGGGCGAGGCACGGAGAGATTGGGGACCTCTAGACCTGAGAAGATGAGCATAGTTGAACTCCGTGTGGACAAAGGTTATGTAGAAGCCTTTGTGGTGAAGTATCTCTGCCAACTTTAGCATTGGCCCAATGTGGCCTTGTGCTGGGTATGGGATGCAAACCGCGTGAGGCCTATGCAGGCTATGCGTCTCTGCCATATCTGTCTCACACAGACACACACACTTGGGTGCTTGCCTCCTACAACAAATTTCAAATAAAAGATGGATGTACAAGTCGAATTATTTGTTGGGAAATGATAGCAGTACTGTTTATATAATTATGTCTGAAAAAATTGTTTTAAAAGGTGTCACTTCAAATATGGAGCCCTATTGTTTAAACATGGAATCCTATATATATAATGTTCCGTATCACGTTTTTATAATAGCTCGGATTGTTTAACATGATATGTGTTGTTTCTCTTTGTTTGTCAATATATATATATATATATATATATATATATATATATATATAATCAATATTCAAAACAGCATTAATCACCACCAAAGAATCATATTCAAACCAAAGAATCTCGCGTGTCTTCTCTCTATTCAGAGATCGAATAGTAGTTCGTACATGCATCTTCACTTTTTACTAGTGACACACAGTGAAATCGTTAAATCACCTGTAATAAAATAAATAACAGTGAAAGGAATTCGTGTCTAGGTTGATTTTGTTACTTTCTAGTCAAGTTGATAATTAAACTACATTCAAAATTCAAATAGACTTCTTGACTGGTTAAGTTGTTATTTAAAAATAATAATAATGAAAAAAAAAATAGAGCAAGCTTAGAATGAGACCAAAAACTTGTCATTCAATGAATTATAAATCTAATAGATGAGACGACCTCACCCTGAGCCTGAGGGCCAATTGAATTATTATTTGAAAAAAAATTGACATGATAATTAAAAATTATTAGGACATTGTTTGAGAATATATGATTTACATTAATGGTGGAGGCTTTATCGGCGATGAGGCTTTATTGGCGACGTTACTTTATATGTGATGAATCCACACCATAGCCGACAGTGTGGGTTTTCTTTTTTTCCTTTTTTGGTTATGGTGTGGATTCAAAATTAGGGATTGTATTCTCAAAGCCCTATAAAATTGAGTTATTTTTAAGGTATATTGGTGGGCCGATTTGAAGGAGGAAGGGCTAGCGTTTGGTGGAGAAGTTGCAGAATAGGTACTAGCATTTGAGTACTAGCATTTGGTCGCAATTCCCCACTCACAACAGGGTTGTTTCATGTTTCTTCTCCGGCGAACACTTCCTTTGAAAAATCTTTGATTGTCCGGTCTTTTATTGAAGAATTAACAAGCTATATGTGTGTGTGTGTATATATATATATATATATAGAATGAGGAGAGGAGAGAGAGATGTTCAGGGCATGGTCAACCAGAATTTTTTATTTTATTTTATTCTTATCCAACGTGAAGAAGATGAACAATAATATATATATACACACACACGCTATTATATAAATGTGCGTGCGTAAATGTGTGTGCGTGTGTTGACAGAAGGCGTGTTTGTGTGAATAATAGGTGCATAAGGGTGCGTTTGGGTTTTAGGAAGGAAAAAAAAAAAAAAAGAAATGAGAAAGAAAAAGAAAAAGTGTGTGTGGGTGTGTAATGGCACAAGAAGGGGCATTAAAGTCTTTTCATACTTATAAAGGTATTATAATTATTAAATTAAATATCGAGGGTCACGTGACAGTCACATGACCGTTTTATGGACGGCAAATTTGGAATGGAAGTTTGCCGAAAGGGCCATTCTGAAACAAAAATGTATAGCTCAGGAGTTAATTAATTGCAATTGTAGTCGTTTAGGGGGTTAATTGTTGATTTCTCAATAGTTCATGATTGTTTGCATTTTATCTTTACATTAATTACAATGTCTCAAAGTAAATATGTCAAATTTCATTTAGATTATGTTTAGCAAGCATGAAATTAGAGCTTTGAAATTGAAATTAATAGAATTGAAAAAAAGTAAGTCAAAATATTATATCAAAATTTTTCTCATTTCAACGATTCCAATTCCATACAGCCAAACACATATTCAGTTTTTTTACTTGGGTGGTAATTTCTTGGAATAAGTACTGAAAACACCCCTAAAGTATACTCGGCGTAGCACTTTTACTCCTTATATGAAAAAGTGTGCAAAAAATATACCTAATCATTTCACATTATGCAAAAATACCTCTCAATCAAAAATCTTACATAAATTAGTATTGTTATACCCATTTTACTCTTTTACTCTTCCAAAAATTCCCAAAGGTGTCTATATGCAACTAATCTACTTTAAAATTTTTTAATTTTTTCATTTATTTATATCTTTAAACATTTCTTTTAAACAAACTTTGATAAATTGTAGAACAAGGATTTGAATTTTTTGAGAGTCAAGTTTACTGTTTTTTACTATATATATATATATATATATATATATATATATATATATATATATATATATTTCATACCAACAATATTAAAAAAAAAAAAAAAAAATCAATATCAATGTGAACTGGTTTTTAGAGTTTGGAGCATATTTGTTTTCTTTAGTTTGCACTTTATTTTCTATTTTTATCTTTGCTTTTCTTTTATACTTTTGTTTTTATTTTTATTTTCTATTTTTGTCTTTAGTTGTCCATTGTGGGCATCATCCATTAGTGTCTTTTTCGATCATTTTACATTATTATTATTATTTATATATTTTATAAAATGGTTCAGTAAGAGTAATTTAGTCAACTTAAGATTTAAATTTATCAAATGAATGTATTTGCATCAAATTGAAAGTTTAGGAGTGTTTTTTGCACGTGGGGGGCGTCCTCCAATAGTGTCTTTTTTGATTATTTTACAAAATTAATTATTTTTATATATTTTATAAAATGGTTCAGTAGGAGTAATTTAATCAATTTATGGTTTAAATTTGTCAGATGAATTTAATTATACCAAATTAAAACTTCTAGAAGGTTTTTCACATGAGAAGTGTGATATGCACCGTCTTGAACTTAATTTCTTCTTAATAATAAGACCAGCTCTGCAAGTCAATGAGAAATTAGAACCTATTTGCATCAAATTAGAACTTTAAGAATTGTAATTTGTTTCTTTATTTTTCTTTTATGTTTTATGCTTTGAACTTACACTTAGATTTTTTTTCCCTAATGTGATTTTTAAGAATTAATTTAGAATTTATTTGAATATTTAATTGGAGAAAAGGTTTAAAGAAAGGGACATAGGTGGTATTATAAAATGAGAGGATATATTAATGAGTTTAAGAATCTTTTTGTCATATTTTTTAAAGAAAAAGAAAAGTAAAGTGTAATAGTATAATAGTAGAGTACAAATCTGCCTCTCTCGAAAAAAAAATGTATTGAAAGAACACCAAGAGAGTTTCTATACTTTACCCATACATGTGTGACTCGTAGTAAATTTCTATGTTTAACATAAAAAAATTAAAAATTCTAAGTTAACCTTAAACAAGTCATTTATCTATCACATATAATCTCCATCAGGCTGCATTGTATATATATAAAAACTTTATTGTGGTTCAAATTTGGATAAATTGAAAAAACCTTTGGCTGCATTTAAGGACATGAAATTAAAATTGATAGAATTAGAAAAAAAAAAAAAAAATTGTTCAATTTTTTAAATTGTTTTTTTCTAATTCCAGAAATTCTAATTCTATAACTACCAAACATAACCGAAATTGACAAAATTAGGAAAAAATTTTGTTCAATTTTTTGAATTATTTTTCTCTAATTTCACGAATTTCAATTCTATACAAACTAGACATAACCTCAGCCAATTTTGCAGTTAACAAATTTTAAGAAATCTAACAAATAAATTAGTTTAGAGACAATAATAAATGCTTAACCTCTGTGATGGATCACCTTTTGAACTCATACAGTCGTACTCCCTCCAAACCAAACCAAGTCAACTTCATTCCTGACTCATTCCTTGGCTTTTCAAGATATGCCCAAAAAAGATCAGAAGCACAACTATTGTTCAACCCTATTATGATTTCTATTTTTGAAAAAAAAAAAAAAAAAGAAAAAAAAAAAAGACAAAATATATTAACTGGGTGCCCACAAATTTTAGCGTGACTTGGCTAGAAACAAACTCTGTCAGCTGTTAAAAAGATGATATGACAAAAATACCCATACACTGCATCACATAACACATCAAACATGGCAAGGTGTTTTGGTCATTTCGGGTACAAGTTGTACATCGCTACTGTAAGCAAAAGATTGAAAAGAATTGCAGACGTAAGAGAGATGGCGACGATTCTGTGTAAATCCCAAGAGGATAAGAAAGGAACGACCGAAAGATTTTGAAGAAACGATTCATCGAATCTTGGGCAGAGGAGTACTGCGCATACCGAGTAAAATAGTAAAATTTGCCATTAACAAGCAACATTTAAGTCAGACTGAGAAAGTCTGTTACAACCCCTGCACAATCTCTATAAATTTCAATTACTGTAATGTATATACACAATAATAAATGCCACTAACACCCTTCAAACATATCTCGTCTCTAAAAAATAAAAATAAAATAAAATCTCACATGTCTAAAAATCAAAATTAAATTAAACAAATTAAAATACAAATAAAAACAAACCATCTATTGAGATCCATAAAATAAAATAATATTTATATATATATATATATAAATTAAGAGCAGCTGGCTTGATTGTTATAATCTGATCAAGGGTTGTAGAAGTGGTCATCACATCTGCATTTCCAACCAAGTGGCTTGTAATTGGAGTACTTGTTACCTGCTGATGATGAAGGTGATGAGTCAGAGTAGTCCACTGGAATGACTCGGTTTGAACCCGGTTGGACTCGTTCGCGACCCGGGAGAGTCGGCACTTGGACTGCCATGCATGGGTGGCACTGGTTGCACTTGTTGTGACAACTCGGAGGGGTTGAACCCAACCTCGTTTTATCTTCAAATAGTAAACCCTACATGCATGTGAAACTCACCCAATTCAGTATACATATACTGATATATATATACATATATATTATGGTAGTGAGAGAGAAGAGAGAGAGAGAGAAGACTTACTTGAGTGGAATCTGAAGGGTGTTCCTGTTTAAAGGAAGATGATGGAGACAGTAGTTGGAGGATTGTAATAAGTATGGTTGTGGAAGAGAGAAGATACCATTTAAGTGAATTCATGGCCCAAAACATTTTATCTGTCCATCATTAACACACAAGCAGAGAAGTTGAGTAATAGAAACTCAATCGCCACTATCTCCAACCTTCTTCCTCTATCTGAAGATAAATGCAGAGAGAGAGTGAGATATATATATTGGGTCAATATTATATATGTGTTGTAAGGAAGTGAAGGAGCGTAGAAGGTAGGAGTGGGTGGGAGTGGCTTTCAATTAGAGAGAGAGAGAGAGAGAGAGAGAGAGAGGATTTATTGAGGGAAGGCAGCAGAGGAGTGAAAAGAACAGGTGAGGAGGAGAAAACAATAAATGGAAAAATTGATATCAGAAAGAAAAGGGCCTTTGGACCACTGTTTGTTTCCTTTCTACTACTCTAATGGGCTTGGCTATTAGTAGCTATATTGAAAGTGACAGATTGATAGTATGTCTTAGTGCTGCTAAAAAATAAAAAATTACTAAGCTGCAATTTTGTCAAACTGACAGTAAATATTCTTAAAAATATCAGCAGCACGATGGTAGGATGAAATCCTATTCAATCTATTTGAATGTGAAATCGAATTCCTTAGCTATACATATTTGTAACTTAAATCTCACCCGTGTGTCACAAGACTAATACAAATGGAGGTCATTGTTGTCCAATGAAATTAAAGACAGTGTTGCATAATTTGCATTCTTAATTGTAACATATTAAATCAAAATACAATATTATTTGTTTTGTTTTATAATAATACCAAAAGATTAAATGTAGGAAATTAATAGTTGTACCCTGCAACTGGAAATTATATGCATGGTAACAGAGAGTAGTTAAAACCTCATTTAATAGGGGAGACCATCTTCTGCTTGGGTTTCAGAATCAGAATATGGGGTTTTGACTGTGATTGATATAGTGTAGAACGAATAAAAGTGAGTGAGATTGCTTACATTTTCCAATTTGCCCAAAAAACAGAGATGGCTTACATTTTCCATGTGCCTGGACATGATTTTTTGGCAAAGAAAATAAATAATAAATACCTTAAAATTGTGTAGAAAATCTGGGGTCTTCCACTTGAAATTTAAGGAAGAGAGAGGTGTGGTTAAAAATGTCATTAAATAAGGGAAGACCAAGGTTTTGTTTGGGTGTTGAGAAACAGAATAATGGGCATGTACATAGGGATTTGACTGTGATTGATAGAATGAATATAGGAAGAGGAAGTGAGGGATATGGATGTCTTGCATTTAACATATCTGGGGATATGATATGGCAAGGCGTGCTGTTTGTTTACCTAGAAAATGCATTGACAAAGACCTGTCCTTCTCTTATGGGTCACTGTGCATTCAAACCTCAATAACTCTACCATCAAATTAAACACTCTTGTCAGGACACTCTAGTTTAACCTTATTGTATTCTCAATTTTTTATTTTTAATGTTCACGTAGTCTTTTTTTTTTTTTTACTGGCAAAGTTGTAAAACGGCAAGAAAATGAGAATATATGAATTTGTGAAAGAATATTCAAACAAAATTAAACTAATCTTATTTAAAATGTAATTCAACAATTAGGATGTTTAATAGAGGACAATATATTTTTGTTTGTTAAAAGGAATCTTTCCATAAATGTTACTGTATTACATAATGGGGAAAGATGGTCATGCACTTTTATGGAGCCTGCACTGCAGCTTAATTTGGTTGCCGAATATTATTACTTTTATTCTCCGTACACTTGGCTGCATTTTTCGTTACAAAAAAAGAAAAGAAAAGAAGTCAAATGATAATTAGTGACTTATTTATTTATTTATTTATTTTTTGGTATATAAAGAGAGTATCCTGATCCTTGTTAAAAATGTGTGTGCCAGCGATGCTATAAATAAATGTTGTAATTTAGTTGTATTTTCTTATCTTCTAAAATATAAGTTTGAAAGTTCAAGTTTTTAATAAAAAATAGGTATGTGCGTGTATAAGTTCGAAAGTTCAAGTTTTTAATAAAAAATAAGTATGCGTGTGAGTGTTTCTTGTCATGATAAAAATAAAAAATAATAATACTAATAAAATTAATAAGCAAATATTCTTGATGAGAGATCCACATATCCTTTAATGCGATTTAAGTTTAGCATGAGAGATTCCTGTGCTCTTCAATGTGATTTATCTTCAATGTGATTTAAACAAGTGTATATTGAGTATGTCTCACTAATAAATATACCTCCTCAATCAAATATAACATATTATTTTGTTATGAATAATTTTATAAATAAGTAGACCAACTTTTTTTGAAATTATGCATTGTCATTGATTGGCTACAAGCCTATACCAATGACTTGATATGCCTAATGCAGCCAACATTTATTCCATATAAACGCATGTACTTAATATTAAAGGAGTCTAGCCATACATTCAGTGTCTTGCGTCATTCCTCCATAATGTAACATGTTTTGTGGGGTTAAATCACTTGTACAACAACTCACATCATTGATATAAAAATTTCACATTATTTATGCAATAATTTTTATTACATGGTCTATTGCCATATGGTCTGGTCAATGATAACCAGATATACAAGTAAAATTTGAATAAAAATGATACATTTATTTACATTTTTAGGTGTCATGGGTGGAATTTTAAGGTGAACTCCACATACCATGAAAAAATAAATAAATAGCTTTTTCATGTATATGTTGTATTGCACCGCTTACAAAGGTACATTCCACCAAACCATATGATGCTTCCTTTTATTTTACTTTTGTATGTTTCCTGAATATTTACAGATCGCTATTAGATTAATAGCAATCTGTAAAGAATGCAATAGTATTAGTCAAAAGAATCACGGATTGGCAGTAATATCACATGTATTCTTAAAATAATATATATATAGATATATAGATACAAAAGCTGAGTACATAGAGACTGTGTGTTGTTCTGGACCTCTGGTTGACAGTAAAGAATCCAATGTAACGCCTTTGTACAGTGATTAAAAATAGCGGAGAAGAAGAAAGTTATTCAGCTTTTTAGACGCTTTAGAAGCACGGAATAATAACTTCTAAGTCTGACAATTGGAAAACTAACATGCCTATTTTCATCCACGTCAATTAATTATGATTACATTGTATTAGCACAACAAAATGGCCTATTTTCATCCACGTCAATTAATTATGATTACATTGTACTAGCACAACAAAATGTAATGCATCAACGTTAGAGATACTGCTTCCACACCTGCCAAAAGAACTCTCTCTCTCTCTCTCTCTCTCTCTATATCTGTATGTGATTCATATAGGTGTGCTTGCATCTCCATGAGGTACAATACTTTACAGAAAAATGTCACCTCTAGCTCAAATATCACTTGTTAGGTCCAGCGTGTAATCTCATCTAAAAATTAATTGGTGTCCAGTGAGAGTAAGAAACGATTTTTATTACATTCGATCTAGGCCTACCGTGCAAGGAGCGGCATCATGTATTATTTTGCTATAATAGGTAGGCGTTTACTCATTTATTAAAAAATTTAAACTATTGGGTAGTGTTGCATACTCACCCATTTATACCCCCATCCAAATTCGATGTGGGACAAGTTCCACTTGTAATATTCTCCCCAACCCGAACCCACGCAATGCTCTCGTTACTGTCGGACCACCCTGCCTACCCAGGAATAGACCGGATGCCCTCCGGGCCGGACGCTTGGCGTGACACCGAATTAAGAATTGGGTCTGACTCTAATACCAACTGTAACGGGTGGGCGCTTACCCATTTACCCAAAAACTTGAACTATTGGGTAGTGCTGCATACCCACCCATTTATACCCCCATCCAAATCTGATGTGGGACAAGTTTTACTTGTAACACTTGCCAACATGTATTGCATCAGACGGTCTAGAAGCATCACACGTGATGCTTTGTAGACAAGATCGTGGAAGTTATGGTGCACCCTGCCAACATGTATTGCATCAGACGGTCTAGAAGCATAGCACGTGATGCCTTACAGACAAGATTGTGGAAGGTATGGTGCACCTCACTCACAATTCACTAATAGGGTTTAACTTCTTTTTTTTTTTTTTTTTGGTTCTAATAAATACTCCCTCCATCCCATATTAGTAGTCTATTTTTCTTTTTTTATATGTCCTAAATTAATTGTCCTCTTTGAAAAGTCAAAGTAAATAAATTCTATATTTTCATCATTACCCTTTATCTTTTTAAAAAAATTTAAATTTTGTAATTATATATAGGATAAAGTGCATTCCCCCCTAAACAATTGGGGTATGTGCAAGAAACCCCCTTGAACTATAAAAATTACAAAAACACCCCATGAACTATTGGGGTATGTGCAAGAAACCCCCCTGAACTATAAAAGTTACAAAAAAAACCCCCTGAACTATTGGGGTATGTGCAAAAAACCCCCCTGAACTATATATTTTTTTGCAGTTTACCCCATCCACTAGAATTGATTGACTGAAAGGGACGATGAAGTCAAGGAATTTGTTGCTGGGATTGGTGGGTCTTATGTCATAGCTCAATCATAGCCGTTGCACCACTAGCCAGATCCGTCGGCCATATATATCGCACTTCTTTGCACCTTGCGTTAGCCCATCGCCGTCACCGCCTTGCCTGCAGTTCAGCTCACCTTGCTCGCCGGTCCATTCCACCGTCCATTCCAATCTCGCCAGCCCATTCCGCCATCTCCATAGCCGAGCACATCGCCGTCCGTGTTTCGAGCACATAGCCGTCCACAGTTCACCACCGAGCCTCCTTGAGCTCGCCGCCGCCTCCACAGTTCACGGCCGAGTCAACCGAGCTCTCATCACAGCCGAATCCTCCGCGCACAAGCTGCCATCATCCAAGACCAAGCCATCCCGCTGACCTCGGATTTCTTTGGTCTCTTCTCTCTCTCTAGCTCTCAGTTTTGGGTTGTGTTAGGTGAAAGACATCTTTTGGCTGAAAAAAAAAATATAAGAAGTGTATAAGTTAAAACGATGCAGTGTAAGTGTTATAAGGGTAAACTGGTCTTTTAAAATTTTCGGTACCGGAAGTTAATGTCATGGGGGTAAATTGCAACAAAATTATAGTTCAGGGGGGTAAATTGCAACAAAATCAAGTTTAGGGGGGTAAATTGCAACAAAATCATAGTTCAGGGGTATTTTTTTGTAATTTAGGGGGGTTTCTTGCAAATGACCAATAGTTTAAGGAGGTAATTGTAACAAAATCATAGTTCAGGAAAATTTTTTGTAATTTAAGGAGGTTTCTTGCAAATGACCAATAATTCAAGTAAATTTAATGCACTT